GGAACCCTCTTCCATATGTTTTAATGCGGTTCTATAGTGTAGGAGGTGAGACTTAAGATCGACGCAACAAAGTTCCATCCAGCTTTGGCGATATTTTCTCTGATCCGTCATGGACGCTTGTTATATTCGTTTTTCACCCTTCTTCCGTATGTATGCGCAGCCTCGTTTGTGTTTTGTCCACGGCACCCGAGGATAGTGGCGCGCCGGCTGGCCGCCACGCCATTGGTTTGTGCTGCACGCGCCAACTGCGATGGACCTCTCTCTCCGTCACCTGCCACGCGGCGGCTTGTGCTTATGGGCAACGCGGCAAGTGGGGCCACGAGAGAGGAAAAGGTAGTGATGGAAGACGGTCAGCGGCAACCGTTGAAGGAGAAAGACAAGCATGGCGCCACCAACCACAAACGTCTGGCCCTAGTGCCGCATCGGGAAGACGAGTAGCTGTTTTTTGTTTTTGAGTGGATAGACAAGCTGCGGTGTGGGAGAGAAGGTAGAGACTGTTTGGTCGTCTATATGGGTTGGGATCCAATTAAAATAGCGTCCAACAGGAAAGAAATCGCTCGGATGCCCGCGCGGGAGCATTTCTATATATTTTTTAAATAGGAGGACTAATAAGTGATTTAATTTTTAGCTAAGTTTTTAACTAGTTGTTAACCAACTATCTACTCAACCAAAGTTAATTTAGGTTAAATTTTAGCCCAAAGTAGCAATTAGCTATGTGTATCAAACGCATCCTAAATTTTGGTCGGTGAACGGGCCAGCAACTGTGCCCACATTAAGAACTGCCTTTGCCGTAGGGGTGAAAATAATGGACAGAAAAGTATTTTTTTTTCGTAATTCTCCTCCTTTGGTCCTTCCTCTTTCACTTCCTCTCTTAGGTGTTCTTAGCGTGTGTTTGGTTCTAGGACCATGTGGATTGGGTTGACTCTATTCTGGTTTTTTGGATTGGATTCATTCTTTCGTGGTTGGTTACTGGGTTGGGTTTGTCCCTCATTTTCTATTTGGTTCGACCCGGCGGTGATAGACATGTTCATGGCTTCAACCGGCAATGATAATACCATGTCTACCACTATCGGTTGGAGCCATGAACCGGCAGGTATAGTCGACCTATCAGTGTCGGTTGTTCTATCACTAAGGATTAAAGCCACGAACCAGCAATGATGTACTTATCATTGTTGGCTCCACCATAACTAGTAGTAATGGTCCGGCAGTGATTGCATGTTTTGGCGTAGTCTATCTAACTCCTAAGCCAAACAATCATTAAGTTTAACCAAATTTATAGAGAAAAATGTTAACATCTAGCACATAAAAAGGTAAATTATAAAAATACATTATACAATATATTTAACGAAGGAATCCATTTGATATTGTAAGTATACATTATTATTTTCTACATATTTAGTGATTGTAAATCATTTATGTATCTATCTATTTCTATCCAATACCTAATAATGTTTATATCTATATATATACCTAATATTAATTAGTATGAAGCATTTCCATGGTTTCTCACTCTGTCACGTGTCTGTATAGAGTTAGAGTAGCGTGTCTAGATATGGTGTAGAGTTTGACCCCCAAGACGAATCGAAACATATGACATTATCATTAGATAAATCATGAAACCTCTCTTGCACAGTATGGCGTCTGATTCCTAAATGAATTGGAATGCATGATACAATTATATGGAGCTTATTTTGTGTAGTAGGTCTAGATAGAAGTATACATGATACAATTTACATTGGTTAAGGTGAAGGTTTCCTGTGTCTAGTGTATGTTGATGTTTTGTATTGCTTATGTGCCATATGCAATTGACACCATGGTTGCTAGGTGCTATGGATGAGATACTGGTCAGGAGTTCTCTACCCCCACTTTATATAGTCTAGGAGGTAGGGTTACAAATATGTCTCGGCTTATCAGCTTATAGATTAATTTCCTAAATTGTTACAACATTGATTTTCTAGTTTGTCACAACAGAAATCCTGAATTATCGGGTTATCAGTACCTTTGGGTTGATGTCGCCCCTAGTAAGGTGAAGCCACTCACCCTATGTCCATGGGGCGGCTTTGTCCTGCATGACGATACCCATGGTCCATGTAGTACATCTTTAGTGGTCCTTGAGTTCTTATGATCGAGCTTGTGATGATTTTGATGGTGTCTGGATCTAAGCTAATATAAGTGCTTAGCCTCCTCCCTTATCAAGTATTTTGAATTCCACCTAGTTGAGCCACTTTCTTCTACCCTAATATTAAAAAGCAAAGGGTTTCTTATCTCTTTTTATTCCCAAAATGTCACTGTGCCCTCCATGTTTCTGTATATGACCTAGATTCACGATCCGTGCACATGCTCATATAAGTTAGAACAACTCATGTTCAGCGGTAGTACGGAATCCAACTTTAAGATATATTGGGCAGAGCTCGGATACATTTGCTAGTATATATAAAAGATTGACTCAAAACTTCCATCGTCACTACGTGCATCCATTTAATTAGGCCACATACGTACGTAACAAAACTAACCATGCATGGTGCATCTTATATATCCCGGTCACCTCAAGATAGATGTGTACAAGTGAATGCATTAATTCATCACTGGTTCATATATTACAAATCACCAAGTCCCAGCTGCAGCTCTCCTAATTAACGAGATCTCCATTAACAAAGGATCGATCTTGTCCCATACGTACCCTCTCTCTCACTCATCACAAAATGAAACCACGCACGACGGGTCCATCCATCTCCAGGCTCATAGAGATCATAGTTAATTCAAGAACACATTTCGATCGATGGACGGAGCGAGTGGAGCAATGGCGGGCTTAAGAGGATGCTCCGAACGTGTCGAAGATGGTGGTGTGGAGCGGGTCGCTCAGGTGGGTGGCCCAGTTGTTGAGCGGCCCCTTGCCGGTGGCGGCGGCCTGCACGGCGAAGCCGAGGAAGGCGACCATGGCGAGGCGCGCGTGCTTGATCTCCGCCAGCTGCAGCCGCTCCTTCTTCTCCGGGTCGGCTGCCAGGCCGAGCGGGTCGAAGTAGGAGCCGCCGGGGTACAGCCTCTTCTCCGGGTCGAGCTCGGCGTTGCGCTGGAACTCGATGTAGCCGATCACGAGCACCTCGATCCAGATGAGCGTCGAGATGGAGAACGGCAGCGGCTGGCCCAGGTAGGAGGACCCGTCCACCAGCTCCACCTGCACGCCGGCCGTCACATTAATTCACAGGTTGGTTAAATCGTTGAAGCGCAGAGAACGAACTCCTCCATGGATACATGCATGAAACTATGTAAGCACTAGCTGTTCATTGACGTACCTTGCCGGCGTCCTGCCAGGTGACGCCGGTGAGCCACTCGACGGAGAGGGCGCCGAGGGTGGCGAGCATGGCCCAGCGGCCGTGGATGAGCTCGCACTCGCGGAACCGCTGGAGGCCGAACACCTCGCTGTAGGGCTGCAACGGGGTGGACTTGACGTCGGAGGACTCGAACCGGGTGCCGATGACGGCGCCGGGCTCATTCTTGGCCAGGTTCTGGTCCAGCGAGTCCAACTCGAACTGCAGGTACTCCACGGGCTTCCCGAGCCCGAAGGGGTCGAACCCGTAGTCGCCGACCAGCGAGCCGTCGAGGTAGTCGGGCGACACGGCGCCGGGGAACCACAGCGGCCGGTCAGAGGAGGTCTTGGTCAGCTTCTTCGGGGCAGCAGGCTTTTTCGCCTTTCCGAACCCGAACCGGGCCACAATGCGCCCGTTCTGCGGCGCCGGGTCCGCCAGGCGGGTGCCCAGGAATGTGCTCGCCGCGGCGGCCACTGACGAAGCCATGGCTACTCCTCCTCTCCTTTGGTGTGCTGAGGTTGGTGGTGGTGTGTGGTGCGGGGCTCGTCACGGCCTACAAATAGAAAAGTCCTTATAGGAAATTCCGGTGTTATCTCTGGGTGGCAGATCGGACGGCCGTCGGAGGGAAGTGATCTATTTGACGGCCACGATGGGCTCTGCCTTATCCGGGTCTTATCTGTATGGTCCAATGAATGGGCTGCTGGTGGAGGGCCACGGGACACGTGGAGGACTATGATTGGGAGGAGGGCATTTGGAGTGCCTCTGATTTGTGGTCTTCGGAGTGCCTGTGGGCTGTGGCTGGAAAATATCGCTCAAAATAATCTTGGAGATCATGTGGTTTTGGACCCAAAACGTGTGCGAAGCTCTGTTTCTGTCGCTCACGGTAACCATCATGCCTCTCAGTATAACTGAAAGTCTCGTGTAAGACCGTTAGAGGCAACCAAAGGAACTGGGATGTTGAATTCTCATGTTAGACCGTTAGAGGCAACAAAGGAACCTTTACCGTTATATATAAAAAAAAGGGAACCTTTACCGATGTTGCTTCACTGTTGTGCTCTTAAAGGAAAATGAGAAAAAATGCTCCACTAAGTTTTGGGCGTGCATTGTTTCAATATGAGCTGAATTGATGTTAAATTGTGTGAAATTCTATCTTATTTAAGTTGTGTGTTATTCTATTCATATTCATGCTAGCAAAGGGAAAAAAGTTACAGTTCATGTCTTCCTGACGCGTGAATCCAGCACAAAATGGTCTAATTCCTTGGGCTTTTCCACCTCAGATATTTTCCAGTACTGAGCCCGGCACATACAAATTGAGATAAACCCATCAGCTGATTTCATGGTTGCCACAATATATAAGTGAACACAGCCTCTCAAATTATCTCCATAAAATACAAAAGAGAAAGCTATATTTCTCTGCTTATGAGTAACATTAACCCCTACATACCTCTTCATATACTTTCGGAAGAGCAGAGAAAACAAATACATTTGATTTGAAGATACATGAGAAAATACAAATATCTGTCCAATAGTAAGAATAATCTGGATCCTTTTGTACGGCAGAATGCTACACCACAAGACGAGCAGCCAAAGATGTCTGTGAGGAAAGGGGGACATTTGGTAGTTTCTCAACACGGTCCAGATGTTACTGTTAATTCTGTTATCCTGGGAAACTCTCCTCTGCAAAGGGCTGATCTAATGCCTCATGGAATAAAGGTTTCCATCAAATTTTGTGACAGCTTCGTTCGGCTTTGGGGTTTCTGATCTTTCTTCTCTCTTCTTCTTTTCCCTGTCAATATAGTTATGTTGGACAAGTTTTACTTCACTGGAATGACTGGACAATACAAAGGGGTGGACCATGGAAACCAAGCAATTGACAGGCCTTACTACAAAGAGGAGTGATTTAAGTGGCCAAAAGGGTAACATTTACTGATGAAGTCATGTATTTGAAGCATTTAATTCAAATAGAAACCTCTCAAATTGCTTAGCAGAGAATCATATGCTGAATGCATTTATAAACTTAAATGGCAGTAATGGTGACAAAAAATAACGTGTTCCTGGGATATGGCATTACCTATCCACGTATTCCTTGAGAAGTTCCTTGGCTTGAACCAACTTTGAGAGTATGTTACGGTAAACATCAAGGTCCCTATCCACACTTCTTTTACTGACATTTAGCGCAGTGCAAAGCTATCAATGAAGAAATGAAGTCAGTATCTGTTGCCAATGTTAGCATTGTAACAATGAAAGAGCATTTAATTCTGATGTCAACACCAAGCACTACCTAAACTGCTCAAATGCTTTGCCAAAATATTTGTCATACTTTGCAAAAAATGACTTTATCCAGATGTGCTGAAATGTTGCACACAGTTTGTTTGGAATTACACCATAGTTAGAAGTTCTCAATTGAATAGACAACCTAAATATTCATTAGCTAGTAAAGCTGTTCTTTCCTCTGGTTATGCAAAGAAAGATAAACCAAGAGAAGCATATGTTCAAAACGACAACTTATAATTGAATGGCAATCTACCATATTCCCAAGAGCCAGCCAGCAACATTACGAGCAAAAAAAGTAACTACAATGAGTTGCAAGTCTACCATACTGTACTGGGCAGAAGGGCACACCAGCTCATGTCTAGGTCAAATGAGAGTTCAAGAAGGAAACGTAACTTCCATGAGTCTGCCTACACAAATATCTGAATAGGTCCTTAGAGAAAGCTAACCAAGCAGGTTTATTTGAACCCTAATTGTTATTTTCTACTTCTCTAGAAACACCATAAAACTCAGTTCAATTTCAAACTGGCAATCACATGGTATAAATGGTTAATATATTTGCAATCTCAATCATGGGAGAACAATATTGAGCAGGCCAGTGTACAAGTGAAAGCTATGCAACGACAACAAGATGTCACAAATTAATTCAAGTTATAAGTTGTTCTATGCTGTCTGGCAAGAAACACTCATAGATCCTAAAACAGTTGTGAACACTGAATATTACATTCGGTTTCAGCTACTGATCTGATTTAGACTAAATTGTGTGTTCTTTAAGAAAAAAAAAACAATAGGCAAAAACAGGTCCTTTCTATAAAAGTTTTAGGAAATAAAACTATAGGTGAAATAGGAAGCATAATTGAGAGCACACACAACTAACAAGAAATGAAAAAACAAAAAAAACTCGACCACAGGACAAGAAATGCAAAAATAAATTAACAATGGCAGGAACAACCTTGTCTAGTACTGTTGGCTCCGTTGCATTTGCAAGCTCAAGCAAACGGAACAAGCCAACTGCAAAGAATCGGCTGTAGCTGAAGTTTCCTTTACCCTTGGCCCTTTCTGATATGTCTTTCAGAATGGTCTCAATTTCTCCATCTCTGGAAGAAAAATCAACTAAGGAACTACCATTCTGGGAACGTGCCCACTCTTCCATCTTTAGTGCATCAGCTCTGTACAGTGGACACAAAGAACACTTAACAGGATAGCTTTAAAATAGAAGTATTACTTTCTGATGAAAGAAACTTAATAATGCCAAGTTGCCAAGTGACCCAAAATACATAACCTTTAATTAATGCCAAGAAAGCATAGCATCTAGTGACCCAGAAAAAATGTTGCATTAACTAGCGTGAGTCAGAAATATAAAGGAGGTAAAGCAAATAAGTTAGCACTAAAATTTTTCTTTAATAAGAAACATCTAGGTTTGGGCAAAAATTGAGGTGTAAAATATTTTTCATGCAGAAACATTGACCACTTAGAATCACCACGCCACCTTCAACAAATAAGGGCCTGCTTCAAAATTGCAGTGTTTGTAAACCTTAGGATTCAAAAACATATCTTAGAACATTGCAAGAAATACCACAGTTTGCAACTGCTACATTATTTACAGTGTTGAGAATTTGGGAATAACTGGAGGTTTGAATTGTAGATGATAAAGTGACTCAAAATGCCAGATACATGAGCTATGAAAAGCACCTGTATTGATCAGGATCTTCATTTAATGCTGTTATATATGCCCTGAAGATGGAATCCCTGTCCTCATTGCTGGGGTACCCTTCCATGAGCTGATCATAGACAGTGACGAAGCCAAGACCAAACACAGGATCATACTGATAGGTTCTTTTGTATCTCATTAGGTGTTGCTGCACCAAAAGTTCTTGTAAGACTGCACTGTAAATGCTTGGGATTGGGCATTTGTATGACTTAAGGAAGTTCAGCTTTGTTTCTGCCACAGTAGGTGGGACATCTGTACAAGATTATGACGTATTAGAAAGGTGCACCAATAACTTTCTGTATCTGTACTATGCTAGTTATGTAAACAGGATGTTATACAATGAATCCCGGCATCCGGCTGTTTCTAATCAAAACATACTGGACAATATTTGGATGTACCATGACCCGGTAGCAAATACTTGACAAATGGTTTACAATTTGTTTGAGGGTAGACATCAAGAAGTATCAGAACAAAGAGAGAAGCCAAAAGCAACATGAGAACTTCTGGAATGAGATGATTATTGAAGTTTTGCAGAAAGAAGCATATGGCAGTGTTTTTTTCATCAGCGCCAAAACTTCTAATGGCAACAACCTGTTCTTGTACACCAGTTTGCCTCCTAAGCATCAAAACAAATTATGTTCCATCAAAAATTGAATTATATGTGAAGATGGTGATCCCAGAAACCTATTCAAGAAAGGGACTAATGATTCCAAATCAGATGTCACCAAAAAATTGTATGGATACTAGCGCATCTCCAATTGTTATTATTTCATAGATCTTCTACACAGGATGACAAACGCCTATAAATTAACAAGCTCATAATTGTATTCTACACAATTAGGCTTCTTTGAGTGGCGAACTGAGCCTAGCTCAGTTGGTTAGGTTCCCTGTGGTGGAACCTGCCCACCCAAGTTCAAGTCCTCGACTTGACATGGGTGCTCGCATTTTCCTAGATTTATTTTAGGATTTAACGGTGTTATGCTTTCAGTGGTAGGCGACGTTCCCGTCGACAGTGAAGGCGCCTGTGGTGACTTCGTCAATCTCGAGATGTGCCGGCACAGTCTTTCAGAGGTGCTCATAGGGGTAGGGTTTGCGTACGTGTGTTTATAGGGGTGAGTGTGCGTGCGTGTTGAGCGTCTACGTCTGTACTTGTGTAATTCGCAAAAAAAAAGTCTTCTTTGAGTGACATGCATCAGTCCTCTTTATGTGGAATTCAACACATCAAAGTTAAGCGAACTGGATAACTGCATTTTCTAAGCAGTAGCAGGTAAAGTGGACTAAGATTTTTACCAAGTCTAGTCGACAAAAAACATTTCAGCCTTTCAAGAGCTCACCTCCAAAGCTCATTATGCCCGGTCTAGCACAGGCAAGGAGTGAAGAGCTGAATCAAGCAACGGATGCATGAATTGGATTGGCAGGATACCATGCAGCGAACAAACCCATCACCAACCGAATTGATAGGAAACGATATTTCGATTTAATTGCTCACGGTAAAGAAAGGTCCGCTGGAACAAAACTATCAGAATTCAGAACAATCATCCAAACAAGCTAGAATTTCTTGCCAACAAAAGCCACGCCAGTTCACTGCAAAGACTACGACGGAAGATTCCGAGGTGGTGCGATTCGGCAGCACAAGGCATCACAGCTGGCGAGGCCGGAATCGCACATTGGGGCGAATTTAGGATGAGAAGGAGGAGGTCTTTTGCGGTGAACCGCACAGGTTTGGCATAGTGATTCCCATTCACTAGTTGAGATAGTGCTGAAGGTACACGCTCGATAGGATAGATAGAGATAGCTCACCACCCGCCGCGGCGACACAGCGCACCACCGAGCGCGAGCCCCGGCGAGACCTCGCGCTGAGCACGACGGCGCCGGAGACGGCCGCCGCCGTCGACGACGGCCTCCACTCGGTAGCTCCGCGCAGCGCCGCGAAGGGAAGCGACGATATGGCCGCCATGAGGTACTACTTTGGACCTACAGCCGGGTGTTTCGCCGGACACGGCGGCGGGTGGTCGGCGCCGCCGACGAGGGCAAAGTGGTAAATGCAGAGGGGCGAGTGCGAGGAAAGGCTATTGTTCGTCTGGGTAGCGGAGGGATGGGATCTTTCTTATCCAGTAGGCCTACGCAGGTTTCTCGGCCAATACCACGTTGCCACGTGGCATGCAATTCTTTTGATTGGAGATTTAATTTTGTTTTGACATTTTTCTTAGGTCTCTCTTTGTAATTTTTATGGGCACAGGAGGTTGGATTTGCTTGCGGTTTTGTAATTAGACTTTACCAGCTAAATGTCCATTGAAATGTTTGGTGTATGTTACTTTCTTAAAGGTGTGTACGCAACAAAAACATGTGATTGGTATGTTTTCCCGAATAGTTTGCTTGTTTGTGCAAGTTGATTATGTCTATTTTAACGTGTTTCTTTAAAATGGTCATGAATCAGGATAATTATGAATGGGGATTTAGGACATGAATCATGGAGCAACAAGGACATGGAAATGTATCTTTTGTAGCTAATGGCTATGAATCATGGAGCAACAAAGAAACGTGTGAATATATGTTTTCTAGCTATAAATCCGTGTTGCAAATATGCTAAACCTCTTTGCATATCTCTAATGCGCTCCATCTATTCTAAATTATAAGATGTATTGGCTTTTTTGATACATAGCTTGGAAAGAGGGAGCAATATCTAAAATATTTACTGAAAACGGTATCTTTTTTTTCGTACACAGCACAAATGTGAGCGGAAATTGCGAATATGTTTCCTTGTATCTCTCTCTGAACATGATTTGAAATGTCTACATAAATGATTTCCTATTTACACATAGCATATATAAATATGAACATTTGGCATAGTGTGCGACGTTTCTACTTTAGTTTTGTTACACCGGTAGCCGAAATATCTTGAGTTTTATGAACCAAAACAATCCCAAAGTTTTTTTGCTAGGATGGTCTAGCTACGGTTGTTTTAGGTCAACCTCTTTCGACGCTCGATAGAAGCGCGCTGTCTATATGATTAAACTCTTCTTCTTAAATGCATATCCGAGAAAAAAAAATCTTAAGTGACATGATGGGAAGAGTGGTCTTTATTTTGATCACGTGGCGTAACAAATTAAGTAGTCATACAAAACTTTGGGGATGTGGAACAAAAGAGAACAAAAGGGAAAAAGGGACAGTCTAAATAGACCACAAAGAGTTATCCACTTGTATAACTTTTAGCTCCAATATATATATTATGCGTTAGTATATTTGCCTTATCCACTTTATAAGTATAACTTTTATTCTCCAATATATATAAAAATTATTCGAATGACTAAATTTGACTATATTTGCATAAATTTTTTGAATAAGATGAGTGGTCAAATTTGGGGGCAAAAAAGTCAAACGTCTTACAATTTGGGATGGAGGGAGTATTATGGAAGGAAGCTAGAAAAGCAAAGAAATTCCACATCCACACCAAATTCTCCTCCTTGCTATGGACTTATGATCCTACTATATATACGTTGTTGCATATTTGTATCGCACAATTTTGTTCATATGGAATACCCTGGTGTAAGTTCTTGTTTCGCCACTGCCGATATTATTAGTTCTTAATCACTCAATATACACTTTTAACTGTCTGATTCTCATCCTTACTAGCATGGAGAAGTGGAATAGTATAAAGATGAAAAAAAGGCATTCGGTAAACATGGTAATAGTAGCAAAAACAAACTTCAAATGTAACAAATTATTTGTTAGTATATAAAATTAAATAGACAAAAAAGTGTAGCCTTATAAAGGTCAAATGCTGAAGGTATTCATTCCCCACTACACTATCTATAGTTATAGGTTATATACTTGTATACAGGCCCATACAGTGGGCGGTGCAACTAGAGCAGTATCACCGGGCCCCCAAAAATTAAGGGCCTCTAATCAACAATTAATCACTAAATCTAGTTAAACTAAGTTGCTGGTTACTTTTGGCCTTTTTGTTTTCTCGCCACAATCCATATGAATAATCGTTCAAGTGTCCAGCAATCAGTTGATCACATACGTGACTTTATCACGATGTTCCGACTTCTGAGTCCATCGGGACTTCACGCCTTCCACACAACAATTCAATTCACCTCGCATTGGCATCGGCATCACCCGTTGCTCAACGCACACTGCATGTAGCATCACGACTGCGACAGGTTCTCCCGACTGTCGTCGGTCAGGCAGTGAGCCCTTCTCTCGTTGCTTGTTAATTTTACTTTTTTCCCTACGACATGCACCCTTGCCTAGTGATTTGGTAAATGCTTGACAGGGTTAAATACTTATTGTGAATCTTATTATTGAAAATTACATGCTGTCATATAACGGTATTCAAATATATTTTTGTTATTTTATTTGCTAGGATATAGGGAGCTAGGGGCCTCATATTGTATTTCGCTCCAGGGCCACAAAATCCTAGATACGTGCGTGGTTGTATATGTATATTCTGTAGTGGCTTTTGAATTTAGTGAAATATTCACAAGAAAGATTGTCATTTGGTAATTGTTAAGTTTATGACCGCACAATATCGGAGCTATTTTGTTGACGACCGCTCTAAACCATAAATTAACTTTTGCACTAGCATGTGCTGTGCTCTCTCTTCTAAAGACGTCACCTTTTCCTTCCCACTCGTGTTTTTTCCTTCGATGTGATGCGTTTCTTTCTTGTAGACATGTTTATGTAGAGACGTTGAATAACTAAAATTGTTTTTTACATTAACATTTACATATAGAGGTGTTGCCCTTCCAACAAGTGACTCTTGTTTTAGTGTATGTGTAGAATATAATATAGATGTTAATAAAGACTAATGAAAGCATAAAGTAACAATTTTATTGTAACATATAACAAAAGCAGTTATATACTCTATCTTTGTAATAATAGTTCACCACCGAAGAAAGCAATAACGATAGTTCATAAATAGCTTCCTCCTAATTCATCATATGTACCTCATCAATTTTTGGTTTGTCACCTAAGAAAGCAATAATGGCAATTGGCAATTCATTATTAACATATACAACAGTGTTATGATACATTTTTATATATATTTTTAATTACTCACCACAAAGAAATCGATAACGACAATTTTGCTTTATCATTTGTACCTCATTCATTTTAGTTTGTCACCTAAGAAAGTAGTAATAATAATTCATTAATAACCTATACGATAATGTTATGATATAATATAAAGTAATAATAATAACTTGTGAACAATTAAGCTAACTCGTGACCAATATCACAAGTTAGCTTAATTGTTACCATCCACCACGTTACTCTATTGTTGTGTCCACCTCTGCTTTGTCGTATCTTATCTATTGTTGGCTCGTCACCTACATTACAATTTTCATCCATCGTTGTCCATTGCCCCATGACTTTGTTATTGTTATCTATCGTGTAAAAAACACATGTATATGGTCACAAATTAAACAACCCTAAGGGCTTGTCTGGATGCCATAAATTTACCTCAATCCACATATGTTGAAGTGGATTTGAGTGAAAATTAAACCAAGTTCTACTCCAATCCACTCCAACACGTGTGGACTGAGGTAGATACATGTGCATAAAAAAAGCTAATAGACAGAATCGATCGCAACACACGTGTATAATTAACGTTGGAACTTCAGTTATCTAACAATGATGTTAAAATGAGTTGCTTATTGCTAAGAAATTTTTAGTAACAATGGCAAATCATTAACAGCGAAGCACCATCTAAGAAAACAATAACACTGATTCATTAACAACCTATACAAAAGAGTTGATTATGATATTAGTCATGTGATAGCTTACGGGGTAGTTTGAAAGTCTCGCCAGGTTTGTTGTCTCATCTCATTCAGCGGAGGTGAGCCAAATTGGCTCACTTACTTCATTGAGAAAAATCCTTAAAAAGCACGAATAACGAGGAGAGCTCACTTGTGAACCAAACACATGCTTACCTCCAATTTCTGGTTGAGCGAGGTAGGCTAAGCGCTCGCCCTGCTATCAAATGTGTCCTTAGTAGCTACACTCGCACCACACTCCTCTATTGTTGTGCTCACCTCTCGCTTTATTTTAGGGAAGGGCTAGCGCTCGGATGTTCGAACGAATGGCGTGTCTAGACACACCTCCCACGCCCCACGCCGTTCTTCAGAAATGAGCCCCGTCCGTGTCCATCCCACGCAGCGCCCCGCGTCCGGGACGCAGCATCGCCGCCCACTTCGCACCACGCCCTAGCCTTGCGTCCCATCCTGCTCCAGCTCCACCGAACTCCGTGTCCAGGTCGAGCTCGTCGAACTGCCGCGGCGAGATGGAGGAAAGGGAAGGGAAGGAATGGGTGGGAAAAGAGAGGAGAGGGCGAGGTGTGCCACGTGAGGTAGGAGCCGAAGCCCTGCGGTAGGTCTCTGTCCGCCAGCCACCGACGCCATTGCAACATGTGTAATACTCGATCTACTTTTGAAACATCCATATGACACATTTGCAATATACGTCTAAAGACAGATGAAACACTTGAAACATGCGTCTGAAACACATGCAAAAACACCTAAAAACACTTGAAAAACCATTACAAAACATATGCAACATCCAGATAAAATAATTGCAACATATGTGTGAAACATATGCAACATCCAATTAAACACACTTGCAACACACGTCTAAAAAAACAGATGAAACATTTGAAATAGGTGCTTGAAACATACGTGTATAGTCATTGCAATATATGCAACATCCCGATCTACTTTTGCAACATTCATATGAAATACTTGCAATATACCTCTGAAACATATGAAACATATGCTTGCAACATACGCTTGCAACGTAACATATCTTTGTTGCTGGGGAGAATGGAGGCTCGTCTGCACGTGGAGTTCACCGGAGGCAGCGGCACCAGTGTCTCTTGTAGGCGGCGGCTGTGCAACATGGGCGGGGAGGCAGCGGCCGCACGACTAGGAGAGGGCAGTCGCGTGCCACGCCTATCAG